ATGGAAACAGCCAAGATGCCCCAGCACTGACGAATGGATTAAGAAAATGTGGTATCTATACACAATGGAATTTTACTCAACCATGAAGAAGAATGAAATCTTATCATTCACAAGTAAATGGATGGAACTGGAGAACATCATCTTAAGTGAAGTTAGCCAGGCTCAGAAAACCAAAGATCATATGTTCTCCCTCATATGCGAACTTTAGATCTAAAACAAATGCAGTAATATTATTAGATTTGGGTCACATGCTAACGGGAGGACACATACAGGAGGAATGGGGAAAGGAAAGGTAAGAAACCTAAAACTTGAAAGTGTTTGATGTGCCCACTGCAGAGGAGCTAATACAGTAACCTTAAAACAACAGAGGTCAATATGGGAAGGAGACAGGAAGTAGTGAAGAGGGCAGGTAGAGATGAATCAGTTCGGTTTGTAATACACTTGTGAATGGAAGCAATGCTAGGAATCTCTCTGTACAGCTACCCTTATCTCAACTAGCAAAAACACTTTGTCTTTCTTATTATTGCTATGTGTACTCTTCAACAAAACTGGAGAAGAGGGCAGAACAGGTTCTGCCTAAAAGTGAGGGGGGTAGAGGGAAGAGGGAGGGGGTGGGAGGCAAGGGGGAGAAGTGGCCCAAACAATGTATGCACATGTGAATAAATGAATAAAGAAAAAAAAGTACATTATATGTACACATGGAATGCCATGATGAAAGCCCTTGCTATGTACAATTTAATGTATGCCAATAAATCTTTGTTGAAAAAAAAATGTATATCCCCTGTAAAGTAGCAGTGCTGTTTCTGGGCCTTCATTCTATGGAAATAATCTGAAAACACACATACAAAGTTGTCTATCACAGCCAATACAAAACTAGGAATAACATGTGTGCAACATGGAAGATTTTATACAGCACAATTCATCCAAACACAAATTAAACATTGAAATGACAGTGTGGCTCTATAAAAATTTAAAAGAAAATATATTCAGAATATACTTTTAGCTGTTGCAATGGGCCAGCTTTCAAAAAGAGTACAGATGAATGATTCCATTCTTTGTTTAAAATGCTTACTTGTGAGGGTGTGTGTACATTTCTTAAAAACAGACTGTGATTGATTTTCTTTTTGTTTTGCCATGATTTGTGGTGCAAACAAATAGATCATATCCAAATTGCATTTGGGAATGTATGGGGGGAGGAAGCAATGAAGAAATAGTATATTCAATGGTGTTCTGATAAATACTTAACAACTGCCCTTCAAGTGTGGCTGGTTGGAAGTCTTGTTGTAGTATTTACAGATTTCTGTGGCATAAATACTACCAACATTATTCATTTCAAGGTACTAATGTGATGTGACTGAATAAGGAGCTGGTATGTGCCTTTATACATCATTACATAGTATTTCCACAATACAGACACAATAGAGAAAATTTTAAGAGTATATTAAAGTTTAGTACAAATATTAGAATGTGTTGAGTTTTGTAAATACATTTTTGTTAATCTGGAAGAAGTCACCAGCATGATAATACTGGTCACGCCAGGTGTAAATTCATGACTCGTGTTTACTTAATTCTTTAGACCCTCATTTGTCATTTCAATATTTTTTATAATAAACACATGTCAACTTTATAATCAGAAAAAAACCAAGTGTTTTCTCCCTTATTTTATAAAATCTAGGAAAGAAAAAGATCAGGGGACATTATTTTTAAGACAAGTCTCACTGGAAAAAAATACCTCTCCAGAAAGGTTATTTCATTAGTGTGAGCAATGCTTATATCAATTAAATGTTTGTTCAGTTGTGGTAGGAAGAAATGAACACTAATCTTTCTAAGGTCTTTCAAAACAGAAATATGTGACATCAGAATTCAATAGGATGTGAGCTCTAGGCACTGTAATACTCTCACTTTACAAATGAAGAAACTTAGTCCCAGTATGAGCGTTTTCCCAAAATGAACACTACTACATGACAGGTACAAAGTAACTCAGCACCTCTCCATTTACAAATGGCCTTGATAAAGAACAAAAATATATGTTCCTTTTGTCATTATTTAATGAGAAGAAACAACTTCATTTGTGGGGTAGTATTCATTTCACTGATTGTGAGGTCCTAACTCCCCCTACCTTCATTTAGACAGTAACAGCTCACAAGTATCCAAAATTGTTAATTTTCTCACTTCTGAACAGATGTTTTCACCTGATCCTCCAAAGAGCCCTGTGATACAGGTAAGGTAAGAAATACCACTCCAGTTTCACAGATAAGAAAACAGAGGTTGCTGGCAGAGTGACTCAAGAGGTAAGAGCACCTGCCAATCAAGTGTGAGGACCTGAGTTTAAACTCCAGTGCCTCCAAAAAAAGAAAAGGAAAAAAGAAAACAGGGCTACAGCAGACAAGTGGCTTTCCCAAGGCCAGTGAGAGCCAGGCCTCCAGCCTGTCACAGTGCTCTCTGGGCCTCTCCTATTGGAGGCCTTTCAGAAGCAGCATTTTGGTGAACCTTTAATGCAGGTCATTTTCTCTTCTACTGTTAATTGTCCTTCAAACAAATTCTTTCTTCCTTTGGTACTTGTCTCACTTTTACTTAACAATATTACTTTCAGGTCAGCTAGAGTTGCTCTTTAGTTCCTGGTTCTTTTATGCTACAATGGAAGATAGCCTCAGCCATCGTTCAGCCTGAGAATATTCCTGTTCCAAGTGCTAAACTCCAGAAGTCTGGTTTTTGTTGAAATTATAAGTCATTTCTATCATCAGAAGATTTACTTCTGCAAATTTCCAAACTCGGAATGTTTATAAAGAAAGAAACTATAAACACTTTGGTATGACACATTTCTAGTAAATCTTGGTTTCCTGAAAAGGATTAACCTACAAGTCGGAGGAGACAGACTTATTCAGGAAATACAAATTATACACAACAAAACAGATCCTGGGGAGGGAGTCTAAGGCAATCTGATGTTTTCCTTAGTCTTGTTTTATCAAGGGAGGAAATGGATTCCATACAAGGTCTTCAGGAAGAGGACTATGTTCTGGACTATGTTTTGATCCAAAGACACAGAGCTACCAATTCTAACTAATCTATGTAGTGCCCAGCTCTTAGACTTATTGTCTGATACAAACTTAAACAAATTGTGAGTGTATCAGTTTTCTCATTTTTAAAATGGAAGTCATAGCACCTACCTTACAGGGCCATGGTGAAAACTAACTTAGCTAATGACCAAAAAAAAAAGCTTTGTACATTAAAACTCACCATAAAAATGTGTGGAATTACGTAAGATATCTTGATACTTATTGAATTTACTATTGTGGGTGAGGGATGGAGGACTGAGCAGAAAGGGGACATGGTGTCAGGCGCAGCACCAGGCAGGTAGCCAGGTTTCTGCAGGCGGAACAGGATGGGGAGCAAAGAATGCATACTAATGCTGCACCTCTGCTGGAACTACTGGCCAAGTAACTCTTCATCAGAAAACAGAGTGTCCCTTCCACAGCAAAGGCCCTCCACGCGGGCTTGCAGCTGCATACAAAAGTAGGCTGACACCCTGACGCCTTTGGTGGTGCTGTTATGAAGATGAACTATTAACAAAACTGCCTCGCTGGGAGCAATTTGTTAGGCTGAAGAGGTAGTAGTTTCTCTAGACCTACAGATGTCTTCTGAAATACAGATGACTCATAATGACGCTTCAAAGACAAATTGTAGAAGAAATAAGTATACAGGAAAAGAATGGGTATTTTTGTAAAAGAGAGAGGAGGATGCATAACATTATAAGAGAAAAAAACCCTGCCTTCTGGAGAGAGTGTCCAAAGATGAGATTAAAACATTCAACTTAATATCTAGAGTAATGGAATAGATTTCTAACTCAAGAGAACATTTTGAAGAAATAAGAATGATATCCATCATGGAACCAGAAAGTCATTTCCGATAGCATTTGTGTAGGGCCTTCAAGGCAATTGCCTCTTGGTAGTCATCTGAAAGGAGTAAGGATATAGTTAATTAAACCATCTGAATTATGGTGCCTTTTCTTTTTTATAATTTTTCAGCTTTGATAGAAGGGATCTACTCTTGAAGTTCCAAAAATGTTGTTGCTATAGGAACAGGTAAGCAGATTAGACTTGAAAGACCAGTTTTAGAACAAAGAATTTAATAGTCAGGACTCAAGCAATTAACTAAGAAAACATTGTAAGTAAATATCTTTCTGGTTTGTTATTTATATATTAATTCCAGGAAGATAAAATGCTATTATAGAATGAGAACATCACATTTTAACATTTTAATTATATCATTACTGACATAAAAGACTATGCTTACACAATTAGCAGAAAGACCTTATTAAACACAAGTACACATCTCTGACTCTCTCTTGATTACATTGTAATTGAGAAATACCACTTTAAATTCAGCAAAAGCATAGTCATCTTTGATTTTCCTATAGTTCCCAAGATGAGAACACATCTAAAATAAAAGAGATAATGAAATATAGAAAGTCTTCTGCAACCAACCCTTATAACTAAGGCACTACCAGTAAAGTTCTAGAAGTAAAAAAGAAATGTGTGTAGGCTGATAATTGTTAATATTTTATGTGTTTTCCCTATCCAACAGTCTTGGCTAACAAGATACGTGAGATGAGAAGAAGGTCAAAGACCCAGCCTTGCAGCTGCGCCTCTATTGATATTCTCCTTCCTATCAGCGAACACCCTGCTCCCGCAGGGATTGCTGAAATTACTAGAAGTTTTGAACAGAACTTGCTATACTGATGAGGCTCAGAAACGAATTATCAAGTGGCTTCTCTCTCTTTCTGTTTTACTTTATAGGAAAACAATCTTGATAAAATGAATATAATATTTTCATTCTAGCGAATTTCTGCTGTCAGAAGTTACATTTATGAGACAGAGACGTTTCTTGGACATTACCATTTCATGTAATCCCAGAATCCAAGTGCAGAGAAGTGTGTGAGTGTGTGTGTGTGTTTTCTAGGAAAAGGGAATGGGAAGAAGGGAATGTAGCTAGAATCTTACCATCTCATTCTCTTCTCCTTCATTGAGCAAAGCATGTTGGCCCTTCTCAAAGTGGTCCCCCATGAAAACGTTGGTCCACTCTTCCTGCCTGACCCTCCTGAGCAGACAGTTCCAGGACAAACTCACAGAGCCACAGCCGCACCCAGACTGACTGAAAGAGTTAATACTCCTCCAGGTTACAACTCCTTCTTGAGCACACACCTTCTCTCAGCAAATGACAATACTTAACAAACTGAACTCCTCCCCCGAGCTAAGAGGAATTTCTGGCTGCTCCTTCCTTGCTGCATTCTCTCAGAGCAGCTGTCACAAAGGAGGCTGCTCCCTTGCCGATGTTTTTGTGCCCAACTTACAGGAAAAGAACTGACTGCCTGCCAGTGCCTGCCAGCATCAGACATCTGACTGCAAATCCAACTGGACAATGCAGAGTTGGCAAGACCCTTCAGAGGAATGGGCTCAAGAACTCCCAGGTCACTGCCTTATTCACAGAAGCTGAAGAACTGGGGTGTGGGGGAGGCTAACAGAGCTGAAGAATTAATTTGCTTAATGAAAGCCCCAATCCATAGGTTTTTTAATAGTACTGTACCTTCATTCATTTTGCATACAAGAGGTACAAATGATTACTAATCCCCATCAAAGGATATTTGTAATCGCATTTTCTTGCGCATGCAAAAAATTATTATACTTAGTGTGCATGTGGAACTAAGTTTACTGTTTTGAAAAGCAATAGAAAAAAAGTAAAGATATAATCAAACTATTCTGTCTCCTTTCACTCCAATATTAGTAGTTAAACTCTTAAAGATGTCTAGAAATAAAATATTCAAGTGACTATGATGACACTTGTTTTTATTTATTCACAAATTCTTCAATCAAACATTGTTTGAGCACAGGAACTAAAAAAAATAATCAAGTCATATTTTCTATCCTCAGGTTGATGTAGGGCTTCACACATACAAATAAGTATGATAGAAAGTAGTTTTTTATTTGGAGAGCTGCAACATAATTCTAAGATAACTATCAGAAATCCCAATGTGGTGTAAAGAAACACAAACCCACTTTGGCTGTGGAAAAAAGCCTAGATTCCAGCTGTTCATCTGTGAGAGTCTTGCTGTGTGATCCTTAAACTATAAGAGATGACTTCTTATACGGTAACATCTGGCAGGAATGCTGAGGGAATGGAATGAGAGACTTGTGAAAGCAGAGTTATTAGGCTAGATGTCTGATTTAGCAGTAGGTGGTAAAACACAGTGCTCAAGGACATGTGCTTTAAATTTGGAGGGCCTGGGTTCAAACTTGGACTTTACTGGGTAGATGCTGCATCTCCTTGGGATATAGTCAGTTACGTAAGCTCCACAAACTTCTACTTCCTTACATGCACAATAAAGATGAGGGTAATACACCCTCCTTCCTGAAACTGCATTTTGAAGTGCTCAATAAAGGTAGGTATTTTTACTTTCACTCTGTCCACACACCGTCCATCAAGATCAGTACAGCTGTTGACACTGGTATCTACAAACAGACACAAGCAACCCTAAAAAACTGAGACAAGCGTGTGTATGTGTGTCTGTGTGTGTGTGTGTGTGTGTGTGTGTGTGTGTGTGTGTGTGAAACCTTGAGCAAATGATAAAGTAAGATAAACATAAAAAGGTAATCTGGGAAAACTCATTTTAATATTAATAACATATATCTATGTGTATGCTTCTTGGAGTTCCCCAAAATTATAAACACGATTTAACCAAATAATAAAAATTTTTATTATCAGGTTGAATTTGGGCAAGGTTCTTATTTTCTGTGCCTGTGATTCCTTGTCTGCTCCATGGGGTGAACCATCAGAGTTCTGACCACAGAGGTTGTTGTACAGATTGTGTGCAACAGAGTGTACAAATGCTTAGAAAAGTACCTCATCCTTGGCAGCGCAAGATACTGGGGAATCTTGTGTTGACTGGCAGCTCTGAGTGAGGGCGGACATAGATAAAACCTGGATGTGTATCCTTGGAATTTCTGAGAGACCAGAACAAACTCTTTCACTACTGCAGTTCTCGGTTTCAGTAGACCATGCAGTAGAACATGATTTTCCATCGAAACTGGTGTCTTACAAAAGCTTTTAGCGATCTCAGGGACCACTGTCACTGCTCAAGTTCATCTTAAATATCACTAACAGCACAACCATATTCATCAGCTGGGAGAAGTCTGTGTGCACGCCCTCCTCTAACTCCTGACCAGTTACTCCCTCATCTTAACCCCACAATGGCACATGGGTTGCCAAGTGTGCATAGGCTCCCTGCCAGAAGCAAACAGTGCCAGTATACCCAGTTCTAGAAAGGAGAATAAGACATGCCCTCTCCCCTGCCTGCCAGCTCTGGCGTAGTTCTGCCACTTTACACGCTAACACTCCTAAGTTGAGAGAAAGTTTAAAATGCCTTTGTTTTATTTATAAATATATTTTAAATATATTAAATATACAAACATTAAATGGATGCCTGCAATGGCTGTAAAATGTACACTTGCTTTTTGAAGCATTTTTTTTAAATAACAATTTTATTTCCATAAAATTTACCCTTTTAAGGTACACACAATTCAGCAAATCTCAGTATCTAATTACAGGTCATTTTTATCACCCCTAAAAAGGAAACTTCATAGTCCTCACATTTTAACCTTATTATTTGGTTAAATTGTACTTATGAACTACACACACACACACACACACACATATATATGTATATTTGTAATTAAAATTACCATGAGTTTTCCCAGCTTATTTTTTTATTTATCTTACTTTATCATTTGCTCAAGGTTTTACACACACAGACACACACACACACACACACTCACACACACGCTTGCCTCAGTGTTTTAGGGTTACCTGTGTCAATTTGTAGATACCAGTGCCAACAGTTGTACTGATCTTGATGGACAGCATGTGGACAGAGTGAAAGTAAAAATACCTACCTTTATTGAGCACCTCCCATTTCCCAGGCTCTAGTCCTCAAAATGCAGTTTCAGGAAGGAGGGTGTATTACCCTCATCTTTATTTTACATGGACACAAGTAGAGGTTTGTAGAGTGTATGTAACTTGATATATCCCAAGTAGGCAAAAGTCCAAGTTTGAACCCAGGCCCTCCAAATTTGAAGCACATGTCCTTACACACTGTGTTTTACCACCTACTGCTAAATCAGACATCTAAGTGTAATAACTCCATCAACTTGATCAGCACTGTACAATGTACTGAGAAAGATTTAGTAGATGGAGCTGCGGGACCCTGAGAGGGAATGAGACCCTGGGAAAGAGCATTTGAAGTGAGGGTGCCATGGGTGGAAGATTTGCAGGATGCTGTTCAGAGTCAGTGCTTCACTCCCTCTGCAGGCAGGGGCCATGTGAAGGGAGAAAAGGGGAGCAGGAAATACAGATGAAGTCCATTCCATGGAGATCTTGAATGCCAGGCCCCAGTCTAGCCTTAACACAATAAGTGACAAGGATATAAATATGTATATTTTTGCTAACCAGCCTGTGTTGTCACATTACAGGTGTCATTGCATACCTATATTCTAAAGTGATGTAATATTGTATGCAGAAAGACCATTTCCTTGAGCCTTTAAAGTTATACCTTCAGTTTCCCTTTGGAATGTTGTTTGAAGACTGTCCTTCAAATCAGCCTCTCATCTCCCTTAATTTTGTCTGCTCAATATTTCTATTCTGTACTACATGTGCCTCACAGGATGTTTACGGGATGGTAAAGTGAGCAGATGTGGATTCAGTGTGGTCTGAATTCTAATCTTGACATTTTGCTAACCGATTCCATTCATTCAGTTAACATTTACTTGAATAACTCAGTTTGCAAAGACCTGTTTTAGACGAAACCTAGAGAGTCATAAAGAACAATGTGGAAATATTATAATGAAGCTCATTATTTTATACAATTAATATACTACTAATAAAAAGTTGTGAAAAAATAATGACCTGGAAGAATTAAGTCTTGCAGAAGCAAAACCAATGCCAAAATATAAATTTCAAAACATACACAAGCTTCACAGGAATGACACAGGAAACTCTAGAAGGAAATTGAGTGAGGAAAGCTTTGTGAAGGTGGGGAGTTACTTCTTCCCTGGCCTGGATAAATGGAAAAGAATAGAGAAAGCATTATTGACCAAGAAGACTGAGAGCAAATGCATATGAGCCCATTCTGGGGACATGAATGATACAAACAGGGATCACTTAAGTTTTCACAGGGATGTCCAAGAAGGAAACATGTTTGTCATTCACTGATTCTCTTATCGCACTCATTTCGTCTCAAATACTCTATTGAAAATAAGACAGGAAAGGGGGAGGAAAGAATAAATAGCTACATCTTTGCTGCTCTAATATCTCTTGCTTTCTTTTATCCCAGGAACACATCTGCTTCTTTGAGCAGTTCTCCACCTCTGGATGTCTATAACAAATGTTAAATAGAAATAATGGTGGTACTGGTTTCTCTGCCAGATCTGTGAGGATGCAGATATTTCACTTGCTAACTTATTTAGATGGGGTAAAGATAAGTAGTAATAGTGTTTCATCATATATTAATTTCCAACTTTTATCTGAACACTCCACAACATATTATAAAAATTATTCCTTGCAACATCTCTGTGAAGCAAAGATGTGACTAATCTTATTGCTTCCACTTGAAAGCTGCAGGAACTGAGTCATAAAAAGGTCACAGGGCTGTTCAAGGTCATGAGCCCTCAGCATAGAGTGGAACCTGAAACAAGTGTGGTGTTTTTTGCTTTGTCATAATTGGCAGTAAGCTGACTCGCTTTCGCTTCAGTCCTCATTGCACAAATCTGGTGTTTGTAAAGTTACGCATTATCCAAACTCAAAGTTTTACTGTTATTATTAATTATCCTAATTTACACTAATGTATAGTTTGTGCACCATGGTGTAGCAAGCAAAGATAGGCTGTCCCAAAGAGGAATTAGCTGCCTCAAGGTGGTGGTGTGAAGTTTAACTGAGTTAATTAACATTTGTAAAACATTTAGCAACCCTTGGATTAAAGAGTCTAATACAAAGATTCAAGGCCTCTCCATTAATT